TGCCCGAAAAGAAAGTCCAGCTTCCCGAAGTCCCACTATACGGCCCCTATGAAACTCACTAAGTTGACGAAATCGTACAGGTCTCCGTACTCTAGGCATCGTAACCGATCGTAAGGGATGTCAAGAACCAAAATCCACCAACGTTGATTCTTTACTGCGGCTGAAATATTCATTTTTATAGCGTTAGTGAATCAAAAAAAAAGCAGTATAAAAACCGGAGTGTCCAACTGATAGGGCTGAACATTTTTTCACTTGTTATTTACAGTAAGATAAATACATTCACCAACGTTTATTAAAATAAAACCATTTAAACTGGGTGTTCGGATTTAGTATATAGACGCGTGCTGATCACAGTCATAGCTAACAAGTTGAGTCTATTCTGAAGCATTGTACTTTTGAGTCAAGTTTTAATTTGACGCGAAGAAGAAAACTTTCCAGCAGTAGCGTTCGTGGCTGGAAATATACAAAGGGTAACAGACCGTCAGATATAGCGAATGAGCTTCAAGTTCCAATCAACAAATTTTAGCAACCAATAGGTATGAAATGTTGAAAACAAAATACTGTCAAAGTATGAGATGACAACTTGTCATTGAAACATCACCAGCTTATTGAATATTAAGAAATTACATATAATTTAGTCAATATTTAAAAAAGTGTTCGATTTTTGAATAATATTCATGTTTTTATTTAACATTGCCGATTGTTTATTCATGTTTATATTATTTTCTTCAATTGACAGGCGATTTTACTGACTCAACATCACCTACCGTGTGTTCTTTTCCTATAAACCTCTTGCAGATTACCACTAAGCACCTACTTGATGACGACCTACTGAAATGATAAACATTTTAAATTCTATGAAAGTTATCCTAATTCTAAAGCGAAAAGACATAACATTACATCTATAATGTACCCTTATTTATAAGGCAACCGTTTTGTCATGACTAATCAACAGTTCAATAGAAATCACTGATATTCTGAGAGCTTTGACAGCTTCCGTCAAATTGCATTTCGATAAGGTCTTTTTCTATTGGTCCAAGTGACCGTCAAATATTAATGTTGATGAAATGGGCCCTAAGCCCATTATCCCTTGTCTAAGCCATGGTTGTCGTGACAGATATTTTAGTATTTAACCCCTCCATCTCTCACATTCATTTACCTTTGTCAGCCTTCTCTTGGTATAGCGACTCTCTGCTATTATTACGATTTTGCTTACATAAGTATTTTGTAAAATGACCTCTCGAAAGTGCGTAGAATTCATCTGACTCTTATTGTTTTATCTGTGGCGAATATACAGTTTTAAAGCGCTCAACTAAATATTACAGACTTTGTAAAGAAAGTGTATTTTGCATATTTTGGAATAAAACTTGGTGATCAAGACAAAGCTTGGGCCCCTCATAAAGTTTGCAAAAGACGTGTGGACGACCCTCGTTTCTGGTTTAAGGGTAAAAAGAAAAGTTTGCATTTTGGGGTACTTACGGTACCGCGTACACTAACTGCATTCCGGTTGTTTCCCCAAAATGTCTTCTCATGATTAATAATTTTTAATATGTTCGGGTGTATTGATATTTTTAACACATAACGAAGGTATCTGTCGTTATCAACAAGCCCAATGTCTCCGTCCGCTTGTTGTTATATTTGTAACCAGTTCTCTCATCTCTACGTTCGTTTTGAAATACCTTTTGGCTGCAACCTCAACGACGAAATCCTGATGAAGGCTCCATAGAGAATGCCAAAAGCTTGAAATTATCGTCAAAAGAGTCAACTTAAGCCTAAAAGTTTGCCAACTTCCCAATTAACAATTAGTTGTATTTTTTGACCTATGTATATATATATAGGTAAAAAAATACAATTAATTGTTAATATATATATATATAACTTGAGACGTGGTCATTGTCGTCTAGACCAGTTAGGTGAAAAATTAAAGCTTCCGCCTTTTGTTGTGTACTTCGACAAAATTTAAGCAAAGAGAACTCTTTATACTTTTTTAATTCTCTCTAGCTTTCAATGGACTTTGCCATCATCATCAGGAGAGTAGTAGAATCAACACCCTGTATATGAGTATCTCGGAGGCGCAGGGTGTCGGCAAAGTTATATAAATCGGTCAAATATTTCCATATTTTAATTTCGTATTTTGAGTGTCCACGTTTGTCACTTCCTAAAGCTCCATTCGTGAGACTGGCAAAGGCTCATTAGATAGGCACATGATTCTGATCATTGATAATTTTGAAACGGTTTTCATATTCATTCAAAATGACATCGCTGAAATGTGTGATAGCCAACTAACTGTAAATAAGTGGTAAAAATTCTCCGAGTATAAAAAGAGTCAGTGATAACACAAATAATACACAGAAATAAATTATAGAGTGCGACCCGAAAAAAATTACATCTAAGATTATCAGTAGAACAATTTATCTTGGATATTATTTACAAATGCGATTAAGAAGTCCTTCAATAAGGATCAAAGTTTCACAATGCTCCATTTGAGAAACTGGCGTTGAACAATGTAATGATAAGATTTTTATTGCCTTAGAAATTGTTATTAAGAAATGTATAAATAAGATGACGTATTAGATACATTTAAAAAAACGATTTGGGAAGAATACTGGTTTGCCAATTGTCTGACCGTTATAACGTTAGCGACCTTTTTAAAGTTTGCGCATCCATGTGTGGACGGAATATTACTCATAAACAAATGCATTTTGGCATGTTATACATGACATTTGAGCGCACATTTCTAAAATATTGGCAATCATACAGGGTGTCCTAATTTTGTCCTGCATATGAAAGTGGTGATTTTTTAAAGAAACATTCTATGGAGTTTTGATAATTAGCTACTGAGATGTAAGGTGTTTTGACCAGAAAAACCGTCCACTTCGGCAACCCCTCAATCCGCCATTCTGAAATTTGGAGTGCTGAATTTTGTATAAAAAGAAACATATACCTGTTCACCTCAGCTTTTATCTTGTTTGTTACTTTTTCGAATTATCACTTTTGCTCATACAGGGTGGTCATAAACGCGAATTGCACTTTTTCTCAAAAATTTCAAATGCATCACGTTGTATAAGCTCTCTTAAAAAGTGACATAACCATTCCTAAAACAAACCATTTTGCTCATCTCAAAAAAAAATTACATCCCTAAACCTAATGGTTTAGTTGTAATTGTGATTGAAAGTTCATTATCCAGTTTTTTCGAAATTTCATAAAAATTGCAAATATCTCCTGAGCTATAAAATTTAGGACCACATAAATAGGGGTTCATTCGATATCTTTTGAGCTCCTCTATCACCTGACCTCCGTTGATCCACTACAAACTTTACACCCTGTATAAACTTTCTTCTTCAACTGCGGTGGATGTATGTAGAGAAAGCTAAAACGCTGCAAAAAAAAACTCAAAAAAGAACTGCGAGGAAAAAAAGCGTTGTAGCTTTACCTACCCAGCACTCAACAATCACACCGGCAAGCATTAACGAAAATAAGCATTAATGTCTCCCAAAGTCGCACAAAACGAAAATATATCTAAAACGCTATTAACTGAGTTATAATTACGGCACATTATATAGATAGGGGAAAACTTAAGTATGTCAGTCCTAGGCCTGGCTAAGTAAAAAGTTAAACTAGTTCGAGACGCTAATCTAGGAACTAAGAAGTTAAGTTGTTCTAAGATGACACTGGAGTCAATAATGCCATGGATGAGCTTGTGAGTGAACTTAAGTGAATTCTTTTTGCTTCTGCTCTCTAAATTATAGATTTTTTGTCTCATTATCAACTCACTATGAGGAAATTCAATAGCAGGATATATCCCGTCAGCTTTGTATGAGAGATATTTTAAAAACTGTCTTTGAACGGACTCTAAGCGGTCAATATATATTTGATGATGAGGAAACCATACCAGGGACGCATACTCCAGCTTAGATAATAACATAAGCATGGTACAGTATTTTCAGTGTAAAGGAGTTGTGGAAATCACCAGCATTTCTTACAATAAAACCATACGCCTTTGATGCAGCCACAACAGCATTTTCGATGTGATAGGAGGAGGAAAGTTTTCTGTCAAATGTGACTCCTAAGTCATTAATTGTATTAGGTCTGTCAAGTTTTCTGTCACCAATATTATATACATACATCATTACCTCTGTTTTTAAAGTAAACGACAAAACGTGACACTTAGCAACATTCAAAACCAGTCTGTTTTCACGACAGTAGTTGTCAACCTTTACAATGTTGCATTGCAATCGATGTTAGAGACTCTACAGAAAAGTTTCATATCGTCAGCATATATAAGAAAATCGACATCGATAACTTCAGAAAAAGCATTTAAGAACATAATAAATAAGATAGGTCCCAAATTAGATCCTTGAGGAATACCTGACATTACAGGGTATTCGCTTGACTTATGTCCATTGCACATAACATACTGTTTCCTATGAAATAAATAAGATCTGGAAAATAGCAACAATGCATCTGAAAGACCAAATCTAGGTAACTTATTGAGTAGGATGTTATGATCTAAACTATCAAACGCTTTAGAGAAATCAGTATATATTACATCCGTTTGAAGTTGTCTTTCGAATGATTCACAAACATATTGAGTAAGATGTAGCAAATTAATTTAATTTAATAATTAACTGTGGACCTGCCCTTCATGAAACCATGTTGACTGATGGAGATAGACCTGCTTACATGGAAATATAGCACAGTTTAAAATGTTCTTTAGGTCGCTGGGGCCTACTCAATCCGGAAATGCCTCGTTTTCGGCATACTGGCAATAATTCCACTTTGTCAAAATATGAGTACCAAACAATCTCCAAAAACTGTTGCTTATCTTTGATCTAGATGAAAGATTGTTTTCTAAGTAAATCGGATGCGTCAATTCAGTAGGATTTACGGACGAATAGGATTTTATCAATTTTTCATCCCAAATCCAGTCCGATGACGCTTCACACACCCGTATAATACAATCAATTTGAAGCTCGTATTACACAGTAATTCAAATTTACCTGCTTAATCAGCCCGGAAGTACAATTGACGCTACCGCATTCAATAGATAAGAGTAGGGCTTTTGTATGTTCCTATCTAAAACAAAATAGATAAGTTTTATCCTGAAAATCTGATGACAATTTTCCCACGCCTACCCGTCGCATTGTAAATTCATGAATGATATATCGATCCGGACTAAAAGCTCAATAAAAATCTATTACTAATCAGGTAAATAGTCCATCAAGTGAAATATAATCACACTTCTTACCCTGCTTGATGCAACAATACTATTATTTCTAAAATCAAGAAAAAGCGAAGATTATGGAAACAGTGTAAAAGAACTTGTAATCCTGTTGACTGTGACGCTTTTCGAAATCTTCGAAGAAATATAAAAATTAGCATTGATATTGCATTCCAAAGGTATACCACTAAAATTGAACAGGGCATAGCTAGTAACCCTGAAAGATTTTGGTCTTTTATTGATTCTTTGAAAAATACTTCTCATATCCCTGATGAACTTAACAAACCACAAGTTATTGTCAACGCTTTGGCAAATTTTTTCCAGTCCACATACTCACCTTCCATAAACTTTACATCCGCAAACTCACCTGACTGCGCCTCATTACCCTTGAATATACCAATAATTACTGAGAAACAGGTTGTTGCCGCTTTGAAAAAGATTAAACCCAATGTATCTTCCACTCCAGATCTAATCCCTGCATTTGGCTATGCTTTTGTTTTAACTGAGCCTTCAGCATATCGGTATAACCCATCTCTTAGTACTCGTACTACAACATTTCCCATGGCTTGGAAAACATCTAGGATTGCTCCCATATTTAAAAAAGACGAACGTTGCGTCATTGAGAATTATAGAGCTGTTGTGATCATAAGCAACGTTGGTAAGGTTTTCGAATGTATATTGCATGATATAATTTTCTCCCAAGTTAAGCACGAAATTTCTCCAAATCAACATGTTTTTTTCCAAGGCAGATCTACCTTAACTAATCTAGCGTGCTTTAAACAGTTTTGCTCTAATGTTGCTGATGAAGGGGGGCAAGTAGATGTTGCTTACGTTGACTTTTCAAAGGCTTTTGATAAGCTAGATCACAGTATTTTATTAAAGAAATTAGCTACGCGAGGGTTGACACATCAATTCTTGAATTTTTCCAAATCTTATCTTACAAACAGATGCTTGAAAGGCGAATACAGGGGCTTCACCTCCACTCAGATTATACCTTCTTCCAGCGTACCTCAAGGGTCTGCTCTTGGCCCTTTGCTTTTCCAAATTTTCATTGATAACGTCATTGGGGAGCTACACAGTAGCTGTCTTCTATATGCAGATGACTTGAAAATTTTTTGTAAGATTGAAACCATGGACGACTGTAATGTATTGCAAAACGACTTGAGCAACCTAAATCAGTGGTGTCACCGTAACAAGCTGTACCTTAATGCTGATAAATGCTACACTATGTCTATTACGCGGAAACTTGTTCCAATCAGATTTTTATATATATATATAACTTGAGACGTGGTCATTGTCGTCTAGACCAGTTAGGTGAAAAATTAAAGCTTCCGCCTTTTGTTGGATACTTCGACAAACATTTTAAGTAAAGAGGTCTCTTTATACTTTTTTTATTCTCTCTAGCTTTCAATGGACTTTGCCATCAACATCAGGAGCTGCAATTACATTGATAACAGTAGCAACAATGGTGTAAAATGAATTTAAATTAACTTAACTTACAGTAGTATGTGAGGATGTTGCTAATTGTTGTTTACGTTCAGGATGAGGGAAACACCCAGTAACATAGTGAAAGCTGGATAAATGGTACGATGGTCAAAATTATATAAAATACACACAACTGTGTGACAAGAACAGGTTAAAAACAGATTAAAAATTTTTAGAACATGAAAGCATTACATCATGAAGCCACTTGATGATTGCACAAAATGGTGGGCATGGAATAATGAATAAGCTGAACCCTTTGACAGATGGCCGAAGGTTGTCAGTGTCTGTGTAAATTTAAATTCATTTTACACTATTGTTGCTACTGTTATCAATGTAATTGCAGCTCCTGATGATGATGGCAAAGTCCATTGAAAGCTAGAGAGAATTAAAAAAAGTATAGAGAGTCCTCTATGCTTAAATTTTGTCGAAGTACCCAACAAAAGGCGGAAGCTTTAATTTTAGCACATCAGCTACGCATTCTCCAACGCACCTAGGCATGCTTCTGATCAGGTGGTCAATGTCCTCCTGTGGTATCTCATTCCAGGCAACCACCAACTCCTCTCGAAGTGCTTCTAGAGTCTGAGGAGGACGTTGCAAATTGAGCAATCTCCTACCCATCATATCCCACACGTGCTCAATTGGGGATAAGTCGGGAGATCTTGGTGGCCATGGTAACAATGTGACATCATTATGTTGAAAGAAGTCTATTGTGACTCTTGCAAATATGTGGTCGGGCATTATCTTGTTGGAAAGTTGGATCTGCCAGGGTGTCAAGATAGGGTAAAAGATGGGGTTCTAGAACTTCGTGGATATAACGCTGCGCGTTCATGTTACCTCTGATGAAGATTAAAGGTGACCTGGAACCATAAGCTATAGCACCCCAAACCATAACTCCAACAGTGTGATGAACATGTCTTTCAACAAAAAACTGTGGATTCCTCCTTTCACCACGTCGCCTTCTAACCCTGGCACGACCATCGTGCATGCCTAAACAAAATCGAGACTCGTCACTAAAGACAATACTGTTCCATTCCTGATCCCAGAGTGACCGTTGTCTGCACCACTCAAGGCGATTACGTCGGTGTTCTGGAGTTAAAGGGAGGACCCAGTGTGGCCGGTATGAAAACAAGCCAAAACTTCTCATTCGTCGGTAAACACTTCGCATGCCAATAGGTTTTCCGTGTTCTGCAAACCATTCATTTGCAATGGACCTGGTAGTGGAGAAACGGTCCCTTAAGGCCAGTGATCTTAGGCGGCGATCTTCACGGTCTGTTGTTCTACGGCGGCATCCAGTGCCCCTTGCTCTTTGCGTACGGCCTTCTCGAAGCCATACCTGACAACACCTAACCACAGTGTCTACACTTCTTTGCACTCTAACTGCAATTGCCCGAAAAGAAATTCCAGCTTCCCGAAGTCCCACTATACGGCCCCTATCAAACTCACTAAGTTGACGAAATCGTACAGGTCTCCGTACTCTAGGCATCGTAACCGATCGTAAAGGATGTCAAGAACCAAAATCCGCCAACGTTGATTCTTTACTGCGGCTGAAATATTCATTTGTAGGGCGTTAGTGAATTAAAAAAAGGCAATATAAAAACCGGAATGTCCAACTGATAAGGCCACCAATTTTTATTAAAATAAAACCATTTAAACTGGGTGTTCGGATTTATATGTCACTTAGTATATTACTTAGCAGATGTAACCTATGTAACTTGGAGAAACTCAAAAACTACGCTGCTTAAAAAGATTTACAGTAGGTTAAGTCATTTGGCAATTTTAAGTTATTTTAGAACAATTTTGTCTTAAAATTAATTCCTGTGTCCATTCGTTAAATGGTGTAATAAACCGTTCGGCTATAGTAATACTAGTAAATAGATGAATAAAAAAAATAATCCTCAGGAGTCGTATTGCATTTTCACCTTCTAAAGCCCCATTGTTTTTCTCGCTTTTTTGTGCTTTGGTGTAATTTTTGACGCATCCTCTGACGTTAAGCTTCAGCAATAGTCAGAATCATATACAATTATGTTCAACTTAAAACTTAAACGTAATCAGATTAAATCATACCCAAATACTTTAGTTTTTCTCAAGAATATTTTTTTACACAGAAGAGTAAATGCCAGAACACCGCGGGGCTATGAGGATCCCCAAGAAATTTTGTTAATCCGATTTTTAAACTACCTAAGTCTAGTAGAACTGGGAAAAGTCTCCTCCTGTAGATTGTCCCACAATCGGACAGCCCGCCTCTGGACAGCATCGAGCATAAATAATGTAGTCGGGACGGCAGCACCCCAAACGAGTGAGCAGTTTTTGCACCCCTCCATCACCTTACTTATAACAGAGAGCTATGAGCCTGTAGTTGTAAGGATCGGTCTTAGATCCCTTTTTTGTATAGGATAAAATGCTTAAAGGATTTTTTAAAATGCCCAAAGCCTCTAGCTATCAAACATTATTTTGCAGAACCATAGCATATTAAACAAGCTTGTTACTCAAGTGTATGTTTTTTCTTATTTATTCTTAGCAGTTTATTGTACACCAATGTCTGCCTTGGCCAATATTCAGTCCGCGTCTTAAGAACACAAGTAACATGAACACATTGCCTGTCAAACCTGAAGAGAATACTAATTGCTACTGCTACTTTTTCCAAGTAATATTTGTTATTCCCCGCAATTCGTATTCCTAGATGTAGTTGATTTAGTAAGTGGTGATATTGATAGGCTATGGCCAGGCAACGATTTTTTTCTACATTGTGTGCAATATAAAATTTGCATAGTGCCTTTCCATAATTTAGCGCGTACTCTCCACTGTACAGGGCGTCCACTCCAAGAAGAGTTACGGTTTTCGGAATACTGTGATGCGTTTCTGTGATACAGGGCGAAACTGAAAATATTACTTTTTAGGACCCCCCGCATATCTCCGTCATACTTTAACATATCGCAGAGCTAAAAACTGGACCTTACACAGTTTTTTACGGCAAATACAGTGGCGTAGTCAAATGTTTGCTATGAGCTGTCAGTTTTTAGCTATAAATCAAACTTAGTTTTTTTAATTTTTGAAAATTTTATAAGCTTTACAGATATTTAAACCATGATATGCATTTTAAATAATATATCGAAAATTTCACAACATGTCCATATACCTACGTATAAACATAGTGTGTATCCATAGTAGGTCTTGACTCTGTTACTTGTATATATACTAAGTAATATATCAATCCGAACACCCAGTTTAAATGGCTTTATTTTAATAAAAGTTGGTGAATGTATTTATCTTACTGTAAATAACAAGTGAAAAAATGTTAAGCCTTATCAGTTGGACATTCCGTGTTTTATACTGCTTTTTTTTAATTCACTAAAAATGAATATTTCA